TACAGTGGTGTATGTCCTTAAACACTGCTTTTAACCAAGACATGAATTTAAAATGTGGCTACAAAAAGAAGCAAACAGAAACAAAGACCATTTCCCAAAAAACACGGCATGGGCCCAGCAGACGGGAGAGGACCCAGGCAGCCCAGGGTCCTCGCCATTTCCTCTGCTTTCATAACATTATACAGTGTCACTTTATCAAGTCATCAAATCAAATGATCAGATCAAGTGGTTTGGATTCCACTGTGATTTGAACAGGTTTTGTTAAATTAATAAACCATATGTTTCATGTTGTTGGAAGAAAAGTTATTTTTCTACGTTCACTGTTCCAAATGTCTTCACAATAGACAGGATTCAGTACTTAATCGCCGAATGCTCTTCGCGTGCCCGGGATGGGCTGGAGAATAACTGAAATGACAGCCCAGTATGTCCGAACGTCTGTCCGCGTTATTTACCGACACAGGGCAGACTGGCCAACTAGATGGCCCTTGAACAAACTACATACTGTTTCCATTTACTGGAACCAAAGCTTTATACTTTTTAATGGGTGACATCCATTCTAAATTGTTCTTCGGCAACAATACAATATTAAGATGACTTTCCCCCTTTTCTATGGTGTGTCACGTGGCCATGTGTCTCATTCTTGGCACTGAAAAGCTTGATTCTGTTTTCTGTATTCCAGTACATCCAATCAGCCTGGCAGAGGGCAGGACGGGGGTGCATTGACTCAGGCATCCCCCCAGGGCTGCTCGATGAACACGAGCTAAAGATCACAGCCAGGGCAGGGGAACGAGGAGGGGCTGCGGTCCTCAGTCCATGGGGCTCCGCCTACACCTCTGGTGGGAAAGGTGACCAGGTGCTATGGTGGGTTGCTCAGTGGTTGGTTACCAAGTTAACAGAGCTCGAATTGGTCCCAGGGTCTTACAGTGGGATGGAAAAGGGAAACCAACCAGCGGATACTTTCACAGGCACGGCCACTATCATCTTGAAGACAGAAAATAGTTTCTTTAAAGCACATTTAAAGCCATCCATCGGAGCAGGGGTCATTAAACGATGGTTCCCAGGCCAACTCCAGCCTGTCACCTATTTTTGTAAATAAAGGTTTTTTATTTGCACATTCAATCCTTTTAAAAATATATTTTCTATGGCTGCCTTCAGGCTACAGTGGCAGAACTAAGTCGTTGCAACGGAGACCCTAGGACCCACTACCTGGCACTTACACAAAGAAGTTTACTGACACCTGTCCTATGCAGTTCATTAATCTGCCTTCTGTCTGTGACAACAGCCCGGCAAACGCGTCGCTCCTGGCTCAGCATCACAGCTATCCCAGGCACTGAAAGCTTGCAATATTGAGCAGATAGAGAATGTCAATCAGACATTCCCTGAAAATTACTGAATATCACCCTTTTCTTTTTGAAATCTTTTCTGCAGGAGACTGAAGAGAAGGGATCTCTTCTTGTATTGGCTCTCTGTTCCTTAGCTCTCTAAAGTCCATTATCTACGTCCTCCAGGCTGCCTGGTGGTCGACAGCATCTGTGGTTGGCTTCTGGCCTATCGTGGCCCAGAACTGAGCTTTCTCGGGCGGGGACACGGGGAAGCATTTGGGCGTGTGGACCACGGTTCCGTGGCATGTGTGCTTAAGAGCAAACAGGGCCATCATCAGTCATTAGGAAAGTGCACATCAAACCCAAGACGCTACTTCACAGCCACTGGGCTGGCCGAAACCAGAGCACGCGCAGCAGGCAGAGGCGACGACCTGGGGGAATCGGCGCCCTCCTACACTGCTGCTGGGGCGGCACCGACAGACCCACCTCGGGGAACCTGGGCGGTTCTTCACGACAGGAAGCGCAGAGCTACTATGAGACACAGCCGCTCCACTCCTGGGTTTACGCCAAGAACTGAAAACTCTGTCCATGCAAGAACTTAATGTGAATATTCATAACAACACTCTTCATAAGGGCCAAGTGTCTGTCAGTTGATAAATGGAATAAAAATGTGGTATCTCCAGACAATGGTATCGGATTCAGTCATAAAACGGAATGAAGTTCTGATACATGCCTGAATATGGATGAACCTTGAACATATGATGCTAAATGAAATAAGCTAGAGAATAAAAGCCATCTATTGCATGATTCCATTTATATGAACTATCCTGACGAGCCAAATCCAGAGACCGGAAGCACACCGGTGGTTGCCTGGGGCCGGGGACGCTGAGGGGCAGGAAAAAGGAAGGAGAACAGGTGACAGCGAACAGGTGTGGAGTTTCTTTCTGCGCGTGATGAAGATGTTCTGGAAGTAGACAAGTAGCTGTGATGACTGTACAACTTTGTGAATATACTAAAAACCAATGACGTGTACACTTTATAAGAATGCACTTTATGGTATGTGAATTAAATCTCAATAAAGCTGTTATTAAAAGTATAAAAAAATCGACTATTAGCAATAAAAAGCAATAAGCTATGATACGTGTGTGTGCAACATCATGGATACGCCTGCAAACCCCGAAACCAAGGGACAGGTGAGGCAGACCGAGGCTGCCTGGGACAGAGGCAGGAAAAGAACTGGCGGCGAGTGGGCATGAAGGACCTTTCCGGGGTGATCAAAGTAGCTGTAAAAGGATAAATTTACTAAAAATTATTGAATTGTACATTCGTAATAGTTGAATTTTATGGTATGTGGATTATGAGGGGGAAAAGGCTCTTAGAACAGTAGCATTCAAGTACTGCGGTACACACAGTCACTTTGGGGACTGCTGAGCCATAGGTGACCAGGTCGGAACACGGATGTGTACGCTGAGCTGTGGTCATTCTCTCCTGGGTGCACACCCTATAGAAACACATCTATACGCTCACTACAATACACGTTCAAGCATTTCCAAAATCTCCAAAATGTGGAAATAATCCACACATTCATATCTGTTGAAGATGGTAAGTAAATTCAGGTCCAGTCACACAGTGGAATTCAGCAATGAAAGAACCAACTACAACTATGAGTGACGGCACAGACGCCTCTCAAAACCAGTGAAGACCCGGGGAGCCAGACACAGCACGGACATCCTGCACAGCTCCGCCGACGTGACACTGAGCAGCAGGCAGCGCTAACCCCGGCTGTGGCCACCCCTGGGAGCAGTCTGACCACGCACCTGCTCCTGGGAGGCTGGTGATGGGAGCTTGTGGATCTGAGGGTTTGTTACTCCAGCGTATTCAGTTTGTGAAAATTCATCAAGCTGTGCACGTATTACGTGCATGTTTTCTGTATGTTAACACTCCAACACTAATATTTAAGAAGGAAATAGGATGGCACGTACATCTCCCTCTGCCTCTAGAGAGATCACAAAACGTTTTACTACTCACACATCTTATCAGTCAGCAGTGGCCACTGATGATTGCCACAAACCTTGTAGAATGAAGAACCCCCAACATTTAAGAACGGGTCATGGCTCTGCCCAAGTCCAGAGAAAGCCCTTTGCCCACGTCAACAATTCAGTGCGACGGAAACCATGGTCTTCACCTTCCTGGGCACTAAGGGCCATGCACTCTTCTTGCACAGCTGACATGTGTCGTATCCTTAGCCAGTTTTTAAGGAAAGAACTTTGTGACTGTCACACCCTCAGCCACTCTGAGCTACCAGGCCTGCTGCTCATGTGTGATATAAATTCCTCAACCCCCACACGACCTCTGCGTTCATGTCTCACAAAGTAGTCAGCCCCTAAAAGCCCCCATTTCCCAGGCAAGTTCTCTTGGGAGAAAACTTTCGAGTTGTTGTTTTATTTTTAGCTTGATTAAAAACACAATGAGCCCAAAGGAGGTTTTCTATACGGCCAACCTGGTATCTTAAGGTTTGCGTGCTTCTCAGCCTTTCCAGCGTCCAACCTGACAAATAATGCCCTCGTCAAAGTGTCAGCCCCAGATTACTTGAATCTCAAGGGGTTCTTGATGGATCCTGGCCAGACTTGCTTCTCCTCACCATCCTCCAACAAAATCACAGGCAGGAAGGAGATGATCACATTTTTAAACTCCCCTTCCTCTTCTTTTGGCTCCTTTTCAGATATATAAGCCTGGAAAACGGGCTTACTCTTATCCACAAAGTACACGTCAATGTGGTCATCTGTGCAACAGAATCTCATCACCCCTGTTCCCGCAAAGGTCACCTGTCAGTAGCCAGGTCCCTTTTATTGGGAGTGGGGGCATCCTTGAAACAAAACCTCCCCATGTAACTCACTAAAAAGTCCAGTGCTGCTCAGCGACAAAGCTCATCCTGTATCACCCACACTCGCAATTTGAAGCAGGAGGGCACTGGCTTGGGAGAGATCACGAAAATGCCTTCCGCGTCGTTCCCGCCTTCCGAGTACAGGCCGTCGACCAGCCGTATTTCTCTGAGCCGTTCCCAGGCTCTGAGCCACGACTGACAAATCACCGCAGGAGGACTGCCGGGCAGTCAGCTCTTCCCACTTCCTGGGACAGAACTCATGTTCGTCTCACATTAAGAAAGTAGAATGGAAAAGATTCCATGCCGGAAAATTAGGAACTTATGTTTCTCAGACATGGGAATTAAACTGTTAAGTAATAGTTTTAAAGGCCTTGTGGTGTCTCGTGGCGGCAGAGCTGGAGGCGGGGTCCTTGTGGGGTCTGCAGGTTGGTAAGATGCCACAACCCCGGGGTCCTGATGTCTGAGCTCAGAGACAAACCCCTGATCCCAGCAGGGGAACAGTTAAAAAGTAAGACACCCAAACGCTTCCTTTAGACATGGACTAACTGGTGTTGATGTCACAGGGTACAGAATCAGAGAGAATGACTAATATGTCACTAAATCAAAAGGGCAGTTTGAACACATCGGTTTAACTGAAGTTATTCCCACAACTGTTTCTACTTAGCATCTAGATGAGTCTCTTCGGCAGAGAAACACACTCAACACCAAGTTCCAATGTTTTGAGCTCTTTGGGATTTTAAGTAATTTATGGTAAGGAACCTTCCTCAGGGCAAGGGCACTCTATCCCCATGTACCTTTCGAGGCTTCTGTCCCCAGAGGGTTCTCGAGGAAGTCTGTGAGGTCGTGGTTCCAGGCGTCGCGGACGGCCGACTTGGACACCACCCTGCCGTGCAGCCCCTGCTGCGGCCGGAAGTTGTTCCGCAGGTACTCCACCGACTTGACGTGGTCTTGCTGCTCCGTGGTGAAGATGGAATAAAAAGCCTCAAGCTGAACAGAGCCAGGGAGGGGAGGAAAAAAAGAACAGCAATTAGAAAAGCTGGGGTCCAAAGCCTGGGGGTGAGGAGGACACAAAAATGACAGGACATGCCCACGTCCGACATGCCCGCAGGACACCGGCTGCTGGCCAGGGCACTGCCGCCAGGCTTATCTGGCTGAGGTTCCTTCTCACCAACCAGGAAGGAAGACACTTCATTTGAGGGTGTCAGAAACTCAGTCTGTGTCTCACACAGGAGTCCCAGACCTTCTGTGGTCTCTGACCCCCGCCATGACCTTCAATGTTATGGGAACATAGAGTTTTGGTGAAACTGGTAGGTTCTGGAGCCAGACTGCATGGGTGCGAATCCTAGCTCCATGGCTCAACCATTCTGGGGCCCCGAGAAAGATGCTTAACTTCTCTGAGACTCAAAATGTCCTCGGTGAAATGGTGGTAATTGCAGCAGCATCTACTTAACAGGGTTTAAGTCAGCATTAAATGAGATAGTCCATGTACAGTGCTTCAGATAGTTGCTGGCACATAAGACCCCAATAAATGTGAGTGATCTAATTCATACTAAGCATCTCCTTATATACTAGGGATCCAGTGCATCCAGGTTGCTAAGGCACAGAGTTGCTAAATGCATGGCTTGCAAGTTAAACTGCCCCCCAGGTCAGCATTTCCCAGGCAGGTCATCATAGTCAGATATTCACGCTTTCTGTAACTCGAGTTTCTCAGCTGTAGAACAAGTATAATACTAGTGTCTATCTTACCAGGTTATGGAAAATATTAAAATCGATGTAAATCACTTGGCACCTACTAAGCCCTCAGTAAAGACCAGTAGCTTGCATTATTAACAAAATAAGAAACATTTTCCACTAGACGGCTGACCGAACTTTCATGGGAAAGCAACGAAAAAACATTCCAAACTTTAGGATCATATTTCCACGATCAGAAAGGATTCCCATTGGCCCTCTGCATCCTGCTCATGGAAACAGGTCGTAAGAGGCGCAGGGACTGGGTGGAAGAGGTTACTTCCCAATGGACCACAAAGTTATTCCTGTCACTGAAGGAATGGACCGTAACCTAACACTGGCAGCCACCAAAAACACCAACTCCTTGATGTGGGGGAAGGAAATGGAGTGAGGAAGAGAGAAGCCGAACAAGCCCTTTCGGGATCATCTGGATGCTTGAATGCCAATCAGAGGGCTGTCTGCAGGACAGCAGGCCCAGGCACGATGCTGGTGGAGAGGCCTCCCGCAGGCCCCGAGTGGCTGCCTCGGCGTCAGGACCAGCAGGTGCGAACACCAGGGCACAGATAAACTGGAATCACAACCTTGGTTTCTGGAGGGTCATCCTGAAGCCTGAAACTAACCCCAGTGTTTCTCAAACAGCTTCTGAGAAAATAACCTGAAACTCCCTCCCTCTGCATTAGAAAGCAATGAATACATAAATAAAGCACGTAGTGATGTTAGCCAAGAAAAATCACTCAAGTGTATGGATTCACCTATCACGCCACCTTCCCTCCAATTCTGCAAATGTGAAGTGATAATACACCGTGAAGCCTTTTCCGCTTTTTCATCAAGGTAACAGAACCATGTGGCTCCTCGACCAGCCTCCAAGCAAGAGGAGCGCGTCATTCCCGACCCTCCGATTCTCCATCCTCTCGCTACTTCGAACGACTCCTGTCCCCACTTTCTAGACTTTGCCCTCTCCCCCCACTCCTCCTTCGGATGTTCCTCCCTTCCTTCTAGTGAAGGGAGAAAGGCAATACAAGCAGAAAACATTTTAAAAATTGGATGGTTGACTCTGTCCAACGTGACCCGCTTGGAGGCGCTGGAGAGAAAAATCACAAGAGGAACGCTCACTTGCTGGGACCACCACATTCCAAACCGAAAGCGCCCCGAATGAGAGAAGGTTCATTTGCTTAGAGAAAATAACTTCTTAAAATTACAAGTAGGGAAGTGAAGACCCTCTGGAGACAGTCTAGGGAAAGACCGACCACAATGATTCAAGGGAGGGAGAATAAATCCTGTGTGGAAAGGTTAAAGGCAGTGGAGCTGTGTAGCCTGAAGAAATGGAATGAGAAGTAATTTGATTAAAGGCCCTTGTATGTGGAAGATGCTGACCAGCTCTTCTCCATGTCCGGAGAAGGCCAAATAAGAGGAAATTGATTTAAATTAAAGCCTTAGAGACGTGATTTGAATAGAGGAAGGAATTCCTTAACTTTCAGAATGATTAAGAAAAAAAAACAGACTGGCTGCCATACAGCGCAAGTGAGACCAGACACTTTCTGGCGAAGTCGGCCACCTGTCCCGGGAGGCTACTCAGCAATAGGACCTCGGGTTTGCTTATTCTCCAGAAGAGTTGCTTCTTTCACAACACAGCATTTAGTTCTCCTAAAAAGTGTGTTTGTGAAGTCTCAGGAAAGAATTAGTCATGTAACTATAAAAACAAGCAGGTTCTGAACTTAACACAAAAATGCTTTTGCTTCAGTTGCTTCTTACAGCTTAATGACACGCTGTGGCTTCACAACCGGCCACTTCCTCGTCAGTAGCAGGCCGCCGGAAGGCTTCGAAGGGAGGCTGCGGTGGTTTCGGGTGAGCTACTGACCTGAACGGCATTATATTACCACCTGGATCACATCTTCTCTTGACAGTCACACAAGAGAGAAAAAGGAGCCCGTGCTTAGCAGACTCAAACGTCCTTCGCAGGTTGGCCGCGCTCACCCAAAGCCCGCCATGCTGCCAAGGCGGATGAGAACTGCCAGGGGCCTCTCTCGTCGGTAACGGGCCTGCTTGGCTCTTGCCAGGAAACCTCCAGTCCCTGGATTGGCGAGGGGAGCCTGTATGTTCACTTTGGCAGGTAAGCAGTGATCTTGTGGACCAGAAATCTACTGAAACAGTGGTCTCCCCCTCATCAGCCGCTTCGCTGTCTGAGGTTTCAGTTACTTGTGGTCAACTGCAGTCTGAAAGTACTAAATAAAAAATTCCAGAAAGAATTCGCAAGTTTTAAACTGTGCACTGTTCTGAGTGGTGGGAGAAAATCATGTGTTGTGCTGCTGTCCGGCCCGGGGCGTGAGTCATCCCTTTGCCCAGCGTGTCCATGCCATGGACAACACCTGCCCCTGGGTCGTCCTGGCACCTCAGTTAGCAGCGTCTGTTATGAGATCACCTGTCAGGGTACCGCCGTGCCCGTGTTCACGCCACCTTACTTCACTTAACAATGGCCCCAAAGCACAAGCGTAGTGATGCTGGCGACTCAGACATGCCAAAGGGAAGCCGTCAAGTGCTTCCTTTAGGTGGGAAGGTATGTACATACAGAAAAAACATAGTCCATGCAGGGTTCGGTGCTTCCAGTTTTAGGCATCCACTGGGGTCTTGGGACACATCCCCTGCAGGTTAGGGGAGACTGCTGTATCTTCACACAGATGCTTCAAGTTGTCCCTCGATCCTCACCCTTGCCTTGCAAACATACTAAAGGTGATGCTGACCACCACCTGGGCCTCCACGTCTCTGATTCGCAGGGATGCCATTCACAGACTCCAACGAGAAGGGGCCCGCACAGCTGAGCAACACGGACGCCCCACACGAGCCTGGACCAGCTTAATCTGTTCGACTCTTCTGGATCTGGTTAACGGCCACACACTGATGCTCTGAAAATGTACATGAGATCATGGCACCCATTCAGTACCTTTAAGGACCTCCCATTCTCACTGTGGGGCCCTAAGGAGCCGGCCTGTGCCTGATCTCCAACCTCCAAACTTGCCACCTGGGTTTGGAAGGCTGTTTGTAATCCCTACATGCTAAGTGTGTGACCTTGGTCAAGTACCTAATGTGTCTGAGCTTCAGTTTTCTTACTTGTATAATGGACAGTGCATTACCTACCTCATGGTTTTTGTTGTTGTTAAATGAGTTACTGTATTTGAGGGGTTTGGCGTCATTCCGGGCGCACAGTAGACACTCAATGACTATTATCATCACCACCATTACGACTTGTACTATTTTATGAGGAATGTGGTCATCGTGGCTCTACTCTAGCAACTTACACGCTCCACCTGCTTCTCCCTTCTCTTCTGCTTTACAATGTGTGTCTATCGCCCGGAAAGTGTGGCTCAGTGGTTGAGCACTGACCCATGTACCAAGGGGTCATTGGTTTGATTCCCGGTGAGGGCACATGCCCAGGTTGTGGGCCTGATCCCCAGTGGGGGGCAGGCAGGAGGCGGCCAGCTGATGTTCTCTCTCATCGATGTTTCTGTTTGTCTCTCCTGCTCCCTTCTTCTCTCTCTAAAAATCAATCAATAAAAATAAAAATACAATGTGTGTCTATCAAGCCCATCATATGCCGTGTACTTAGTCATGCACTTTACAAACATTATTTTGGTTTCTAACTTGTTTTTAGTTTAAAATAACATTAAAGTAACATTATTATTACATCATGAACATGAACAGCTAATGTTTAGTGAGCATTTATTACGTGCAAAGCATTGTGCTAAGAGTGTTATGTGCTTTCTCTTACTGAATCCTCACAGAAATGCCACAAGGTTGGTGGTACCATCAGAGCATTATTTTTGACTGGTGAGGAAACTGGGCTTGGAGACATGAAATAACTTGCCCAAGATCACACAGGGGCCGAGCTGGCTGCTTTTTCATGTTCTCAGAGGCTTATGCCTAACGCATCACAGGCCTGCAGCACGGTTCACCGAGGCACGGGGAGAATAACGGGGTGATCGTCAAAACCCCCAAACATTTCCTTCAGCTGATCCCCAAAGACCGTTCATGCAGGACGCCCACGACTGGCAACACAACTGTCCGCTCCTCCTGACCTCTGGAAAAAACAGCCTCCGGCCCGACGCAGGAAGAACCGGGATGTGAAGGAGCCGCCAGGCCAGGAGGAAACCAGCCGCCCACAAAGCCTGCGTTTCCCTCCCCTCGCTCTCTGCCAGACTCAGGTAACAAACACACTTGAATGTATCTGTGCTGTAACATAACCAATGAAGTCTCTATCACTTAGT